GAAAATCCAGAAAAGTAGGGACTGCTGTTCATATTTTATCAGAATTTTTAGTGAATTTCAGAAAATCTGCTTGTGCACTGCTTGCACTTTAAAGAGAATTCAGACAGTCATCAACTGCTGAAATTCTGCTGAAAACTGATACAACCTCAGACTAGACACAAGAATGAAGAAGAAGAATCTAATAAACTGTCATACTAAATAGATTTAAACAAAAATACTAAACATGATGAAGAAAAGAGAGATCTGAGATAATCATGCAATATATATTCTCTTGTTCTGAGCTCTTGCTCTGAGCTCTACTAACAGCAATCATCTGAAGAATCTGATCATGTGACTTCAAGTTTAATACTTCTTTATCACTTCATGTCAGATTCTAATATTACTTCTCTGAAAAATTCAGACATGTTCTCATGTCAGACATTCTGATTGTAAATCTTCTTATTTCATGCTCTTGACAAGTTATTATCTGTATATTCTGATAAATTTTTCTCATTCTCTCATATCTTCAGTTATTTTATCAGTCATTTCAGAAGTTCTGATTTCTGTGAGTTGCTCTTGTGATAATCTCTTAACTGATGTGATGAGCTCTTAAAATTTTACACTGAATATCACTGCAAATTATAATTATATTTCAATTATTTAATTCAGTACTGCAGCTTTCTTCAGTGAATTCAGCTTGTCAGAATTTACTTTATCTTTTATTTATTTTTCTCATTAATAATCAGTAGCTCTGACTTCTCATACTCTTATTCTGATAGAGAGTTTATTACTGCTCAGCAGAGTTTGTCTGAAGAGAATACAGAGTATATTTTCATGCTTATAGATAATTTCAGACAGTAGCTGTTTCTCATCTTTTTTATTACTGAGAAGAATTCAGTATTCTATTCTATCAGTTTTCTACTTGAGTGATTTACTGAATAGTTATATAGAATCAAGTAGATCTGATTCTTTATTTTAAAGTTAAGCTTCTGATAATGACAGTTAATCTATTTTTTTATTATTTTCTGAATCTTCTGCACTCTCTGCTGTGTGTATTTTTATACTTTTATAAAAGTTCACACTTGATTCTGTATCTTCTGACAGTTTAAGCACTCAGTGCATGACACTTTATCTGATAAAGACTGTCAGTTAAAAGATGTTCATGACTTATAATTATTTACTATTAGAAAGAAAAATGCATTTATTAAAGTGTG